AACGTTTGATGTCACTATAACTACATTAACAACTGTGGTTGCAGTCTGGTGATCATCCGACGAATACGTGCACCTGAAAAATATCGCAGTGAATAAACTTTGCCTATAGCCGCATGTGCGCGTCTTGTACGTATTTCCATTAAAAAATTGACACCTAAAGCAAAAAAATCACCGGGAATGGGTATAAACCTTTATTTACGTTACAAACATGAATATATTCTACAGGACATTAACATAGGGACTGTTAAAGACGAAGAAATGCATGAAGGTAAAATGGACTGTTACAATGTACTAGTAGAAGTAGCAGCATAATTCCACATCGCCACAGGTCGGAGGAACACCATGACCGCAATCCCTCGTGCCTGTTGGGCAATCGCCCTTAACGCACCGTCCAGGTACACCGTTACAACTGCAAGCTGAAAGACAAGGAAGTAAATAAATCAAACGTAGCAACAATGATATTTCTAAAGAATGAAAGAAGAAATCGTATTTTGCAAGTCGATTGATGACTATAGTAATTTTTTATGACTGCATGATTTTTCAAGCGTCTAGACAAAGAAATTATTTTCAAAAGATTTCAAAAGATTCGTTTGATCGATTCGAAATGATGCATTTCTTTTCAGTGTTCATTAATAATAATAAGGCTTCAAGTTGATTTCATAACTTTCCTAAATAGAGAAAATTTAAAGCAAATAAATGACTCTTACAATTACGAGTCTGCATTTCACTCGCACGGCCATGACATGTTTCCCCCAGGTACAGTATAACAAATACCAAAACAAGCACTTGAACGATTTTCATCTTCCTTGCAACTCTGGCGATAAAACAATCATAACAGATACTTCAGTGAGTGCAAAACATTTATATTATACAAGAAACGGTTTTGTGTTAATGATGGGTATAACCCGGATAATTAATATCATACTCTGCCCTTAAGTATAGGATGCAACTTTTTGAACTTTCTGGCTGTTTTTATTCTTAATTTCTAGAATGTATTTTTTTTCGCTCGAAATATGAGCCTTAGCTTATATCCCAAATATAACAAGTCAGAACTTGCGCATTTATAAATTACCACTCTTAGCACTTATACGGCCGCGTGATTTACTGACATAAACGTACGTTAAAAATGATAAAAATTTTTGCGAGATCTTAGGAAATACAATTTGAACTCATACCCTTTCATCCGGCAAAAATTGCTTTACCAAAAAACAAAAAATTAAAAAAAACGCCAACGATATCCCCCGAAGTTTGAATACCAAAATCATAGCAGGCATTTTAAATATATCGTAGTGGTTTACTGGTTTATCACTTTATGTCCCCACATTCCCGAAAACAATACAATGTACTTACTTCAATTGTCTTTTCAACTTCCAAGTCAAATCTCGAAATGTTTGTTAACCACAAACTAACGATTTCAGGACTGCCGAGATTGTATCTTTGTCGGTAAAAGTTCAAAACTTTGTTTTGGTCGGCCTACTGCACTGCATTTGTACAAGAGGTCCGTAAGACAAGTTGTGTTGTATATTATACTATATTGTTCATCTGCTGATTTTAGCCAAACATATACGAGGACCTTGCTATAATTATGCAAAAAAATTTTTCCCTATTCAGCACGGCAGAAGACGTCTCTGCTTAACGTGTGTTTCAAAAGTATCTCGGCAGGAGATAACAATATTGTCAAGAAATAACCTAAAAAAAACCGCGGTTAACCTAATGTCAAAGCTCGGCTTCATCGCTGTTGAACCAAGGTCAGGCCGAGGTTGAACCGCGGTGAGACGGAGGTTAAAGCTCGGCCTGACTCGGTCTGACAGGCATTTTTTTAAGATCTTTTCGATTTGGCTATTGTGTTCTCGTTCTCAGCTGTTTTTAACATTGCGTTCTGAAGCGAACCGCCATTGCGAAGTGATTTTTCCTTTGCGGTCGTCTGCGGTTTCAACCAGTCGACCGCAACGGAACCACAACCGCAACCGCAGTGTTAGGTAAATTTCTGGAAATTACTGTAGCAACTGCAAAATTCTGTCATCACACAGAGCGGTAGGAGACACTATAGTGTTGCACCAGATAGATTCCTTGTATAGTTATTGACACAAGCATATTAAGAAATCAATCAGGCATAAGACGAATAATGTATGTTATGCACCCCCAATTAAACGTTCAGCGACAGCTCCTATTCATCCCTCCCTCGATTAAGCTTCTATAGCGGTGGCTGTGATATCATCTGTTCACTATACGCTAAAAAGTGACGAAGATGCGTTCATAAGGCTGACGACGGTCCTGTTTACGCTTATTTAATTGCCAATTATTAACTGTTCAAAACTATTTTAGAACATGTTTACAGAACACACGTCTACATGCAGGTGCGGCTTAATCCGGTTTTCCACCAGCGATATTTTTCGCGCGAAGCGACTATATTCCTTTGTATTTGAGCAATTTGCTCCAGATGGTTGCAGTTGAGAGCTCTGAAACAAAAGTAAAATGTCGCTTCGCGCGAAAAATATCGCTAGTGGAAAACTGGCTTTAATGTGTGTGTCAAAAGTATCTCAGCAGGAGATAATAATGGCAAATGCAAATTTGCTTTAGCACACTCCGCGATAGGAGATAACAATATTGTCAAGAAATAACCTAAAAAAAACCGCGGTTAACCTATAGGTCAAAGTTCGGCCTGATCGCGGTCTGACAGGCATTTCTTAAGATTTTTTCGATTTGGCTATTGTGTTCTCGTTCTCAGCTGTTTTTAACATTGCGTTCTGAAGCGAACGGCCACTGCGAAGTGATTTTTTCTTTGCGGTCGTCTACGGTTTCAATCGGTTGACTGCAACGGAACCGCAACCGCAGTGTTCCGTCATCACACAGAGCGGTAGGAGACCCTATAGTGTTGCCTAATCGTTCTCGTGAAGAAAACAAAAGACAAAAAGCTAAACGGTAAGATTCTAAAAATGTAGCACCAGATAGATCCCTTGTAGTTATGGACACATACACTAAATGCCAAGCCCAAGTCCATGTTATGTTTAGTTATAGGAAAAAACTGTTTCAAAGATTTTCATTGTAAATCATTGCAAATAATAACGAATAGCATGATTATTCTGGGAAAAAAGTAATTTCGCCATTCAGCACGGCAGAAGACGTCTCTGGAACACACGTCAACAAGTGCGGCTTATCATGTGTTCCAATAGTATTTCAGCGGAAGATAACAATATACAATATTGTCCAGAAATAATCTAACAAAAACCGCGGTTAACTTATAGGTCAAAGCTCGGCCTGATCGCGGTTGAACCAAGGTCAGGCCGAGGTTGAACTGCGGTGAATCGGAGGTTAAACCTCCGCCTAACTCGGTCTGACAGGCATTTCTTAAGATTTTTTCAAATTGGCTATTGTGTTCTCGTTCTCGGCTTTTTTAACATTTTTCCCTTGCTGTCATCTGCGGTTCTATCATCGGTTGACTGCAACGGAACCGCAACCGCAGTGTTCCGTCATCACACAGAGCGGTAAGAGACCCTATAGTGTTGCCTAATCGTTCTCGTGAAGAAAACAAAAGACAAAAAGCTAAACGGTAAGATTCTAAAAATGTAGCACCAGATAGATCCCTTGTAGTTATGGACACGTACACTAAATGCCAAGCCCAAGTCCATTTATGTTTAGTTATAGGAAAAAACTGTTTCAAAGATTTTCATTGTAAATCATTGTAAATAATAACGAATAGCATGATTATTCTGGGAAAAAAGTAATTTCGCCATTCAGCACGGCAGAAGACGTCTCTGGAACACACGTCAACAAGTGCGGCTCAACGTGTGTTTCAAAAGTATCTCAGCGGAAGATAACAATACACAATATTGTTTGACTTTGTCAACCCTTCTCTCCACACTGTTCCATCAAATCTTTGAGCTTCTTGTCATGGTCGAGATAAGCCTCTTCATCTGTTGCACCACTGCCATAAAAAAACATATAACTTTGTCTCTAGTTTGTTTAAAAATAACACTATTTCTACCATTCCCGCATCATATTGCTCCGGACCAACAATTCCAAATACTCTAAAAGACACCCAAAATTTTTTCCATTCAAATGACAAATAGCCTACACATGTACATACAATTTGCCATCTGATATTTTTTTCCTTCAAAAATTAAAATTTATGCAGGATAGGGAAAGGAACACGGACTTCCCGAACAGTCGTTGTTACCGCTAGAAGCTTAATCGAGGAAGGGATGAATAGGAGCAGTCGCTGAAGGTTTAATTGGGGGTGTATATTATATATTTTTCGTCTTATGCCTGATTGATTTCTTAATATCCATGTGTCCATAACAAAAAGGAATCTATCTGGTGCAACATTTTCAGAATCTTACCGTTTAGCTTTTAGTCCTTTGTTTTCTTCACAAAATAGATTAGGCAACACTATAGGGTCTCCTACCGCTCTGTGTGATGACGGAATTTTGTATTTGCTACAGTAATTTTCAGAAATAACCTAACACTGCGGTTGCGGTTGCGGTTGCAGTTCCGTTGCGGTCGACAGATTGAAACCGCAAACGACCGCAAAGGAAAAATCACTTCGCAATGGCCGTTCGCTTCAGAACGCAATGTTAAAAACAGCTGAGAACGAGAACACAATAGCCAAATCAAAAAGATCTTAAGAAATGCCTGTCAGACCGAGTTAGGCCGAGGTTTAACCTCCGTCTCACCGCGGTTCAACCTCAGCTTGACCTCGGTTCAACCGCGATCAGGCCGAGCTTTGACCTATAGGTTAACCGCGGTTTTTGTTCGGCTATTTCTTGACAATATTGTTATCTCCTGCCGAGATACTTTTGAAACACACGTTAAGCAGAGACGTCTTCTGCCGTGCTGAATAGGGAAAAAACTTTTTGCATAATTATAGCAAGGTCCTCGTATATGTTTGGCTAAAATCAGCAGATAAACAATATAGTATAATATACAGCACAACTTGTCTTCCGGACCTCTTGTATAAATGCAGTGCAGTAGGCCGACCAAAACAAAGTTTGGAACTTTTACCGACAAAGATACAATCTCGGCAGTCCTGAAATCGTTAGTTTGTGGTTAACAAACATTTCGAGATTTGACTTGGAAGTTGAAAAGACATTTGAAGTAAGTACATTGTATTGTTTTCGGGAATGTGGGGCCCACTACGATATATTTAAAATGCCTGCCATTTTTGGTTTTTGGCTGAAGCAATTTTTGGATAAAAGTGTACAAGTTCAAATTGTATTTCCTAAGATCTGCCAAGAATTTTTATCATTCAGTTTTAACGTACGTTTATGTCAGTAAAGCATATCACGCGGCCGTAAGTTCTCGGAGTGGTAATTTATAAATGCGCAAGTTCTGACTTGTTATATTCATTCAAAAAGTTGCATCCTATATATACTTAAGACAGAGTATGATATTAATTATCCGGGTTATACCCACCAATAACACAAAACCGTTTCTTGTATAACATAAATGTTTTGCACTCACTGAAGTATCTGCTATGATTGCTTTATCGCCAGAGTTGCAAGGAAGATGAAGATCGTTCAAGTGCTTGTTTTAGTATTTGTTATACTGTACCTGGGGGAAACATGTGATGGCCGTGCGAGTGAAATGCAGAATTGTAAGAATCGTTTATTTGCTTTAAATTTTCTCTATTTGGGAAAGTTATGAAATCAACTTGAAGCCTTATTATTATTAATGAACACTGAAAAGAAATGCATCATTTCGAATCGATCAAACGAATCTTTTGAAATCTTTTGAAAATAATTTCTTTGTCTAGACGTTTGAAAAATCATGCAGTCATAAAAAATTACTATAGTCATCAATCGACTTGCAAAATACGATTTCTTCTTTCATTCTTTAGAAATATCATTGTTGCCCCGTTTGATTTATTTACTTCTTTGTCTTTCAGCTTGCAGTTGTAATGGTGTACAAGGACGGTGCGTTGCGTTCAAATGCCCAGAAGGCATGAATGATTGCCATCATGGTGTTCCTCCAACCTGTGGCCATGATGAATTATGCTGCTACTCATGATGATGTAACAGCACATTTTGCCTTCATACATTTCTTCGTCGTTCACAGTCCTTATGTTAAAGTCTTGTTGAATATTGATATTCATGTTTGTACGTAAATAAAGGTTTATAACCAATCTCGGTGATTTTTTTTGCCTTAGATGTCAAATGTCTTAATGAAATTCGTACAGGACGCGCACATGCGGCTGTAGCCAAAGTTTATTCCTGCACTGCGATGTTTTTCAGGTGCACGTGTTCGTCGGATGATCAACAGACTGCAACTACAGTTGTTAATATAGTTATAGTGACATCGAACGTTTTCGAGTAATTCGAAGTTTAGTCAATCGCGAGCGGATGAGTCTCAACGTATGAAACTTTCTCTATCTTGGACGTCCGGACTTAATATCCAAGATTTGTCAGCGAGAGTCATTGCTAATAAAATTAATTGAACGGCCACTGCGAAGTTATTTTTCTCTCGCGGTCGTCTGCTGTTTCTAACGGTCGACCGCAACGGAACCGCAACCGCAGTGTTAGGTTATTTCTGGAAATTACTGTACCAACTGCAAAATTCCGTCATCACACAGAGCGGTAGGAGACCCTTTAGTGCCTAATCGGTTTCGTCAAGAAAACAAAAGACAAAAAACTAAGTGGTAAGATTCTGAAAATGTAGCACCAGATAGATTCTTTATAGTTATGGACACATGCATATTTGAGAAATCGATCCGGCATAAGACGAATAATAAATGTATTGTTATATAGGTTCTGTGTATTTTAAATGTGATTGGCTCATTCCTAGTCACATGACTTTAAATAAATTTCCCGCCAGGGAAACAAGTGAAAAATTGTTGCCCGCTTCTTGTCATAACAAAGTAATTAAAGTAGGTTTTTTAAAATGTTTTTGCTCCTATATAACAAAGCACTTAATGTACACTACCTCGGGAAATAGTGGGTTTTGTTTTCCCTCGTGTTCCATGCAATGTCTTGAAACATTCAGACTCTTGGGAAAACAAAACTCACTACTTCCCTCGGGAAAAAACGTTCAGCGACAGCTCCTATTCATCCCTCCCTCGATTATGCGTCTAGCGGTGGCTGTGATATCATCTGTTCACTATACGCTAAAAAGTGACGAAGATGCGTTCATAAGGCTGACGACGGTCCTGTTTACGCTTATTTAATTGCCAATATTAACTGTTCAAAACAATTTTAGAAGAAGTTTACAGAACACACGTCAACATGCAGGTGCGGCTTAATGTGTGTGTCAAAAGTATCTCAGCAGGAGATAATAATGGCAAATGCAAATTTGCTTTAGCACACTCCGCGATAGGCGATCTGACTGGTTCCGTTTAATAACACAATATGGACAAAAGGCCAACACATAGAAACATTCTAAATATTTAGAAATTTATTTGTAATAAATGACACAGGCAACTTTTCTCGTAGTTACCGCACATCTCGTGTGATTACATTTCATGATCAAAGTAAGCCTACAAGCAACGCTACTGAAAGAAATCAGTCAGACGAATGCAGAAAATTAACCCCCCCCCCCCCGCCTCTAGCTTCTAGCCAGAGCTTTGATAATCTGTTCATTATACCCTAAAAATTGTTGGAGAAGCGTCGGGGACAGATATTGATAATACGTTGTATGGCCGTCACAGATTAATGTTTTGGTATAGCCTTTGTTTACGAGCTGTACTAATCGAGTTCCGATGCAATAATCGGTTAAGGGTTGTAAAAAACCTATCTTCGCAATTATTTTCATTACTTTTTCCAGCAGTATAGGGCAATTTTATAAAGTTTTCTTTACAATCCAGCACAGTGGAAGATGCATTGGTAAGCTCGTCAGCAGTGGCGTGGCCAAGGTAGAAAATTTAGGGGGGCGACCAGTAAGTGGGGAAGGCACAAACGATGTGGGGGGGTCCGGGGGCATTCTCCCCCGGGAAAATTTGGGATTTCTGAGGCTTGGAAACGCCATTTCCCGCATTCTGATACGAGCTTTTAAAAGTAATCGTTGGGTTACAAATCACAAAATTTTGTCATTATTACATTAGATCAACGAACAATACACGTGAAAATCTCTTTCGATTTACTGATTACTCGTTGCTTACATAACTTGATCCCCCCTTCTCATATTCCGCTTGATTTAAACATTTCATGAGAACGGCGACCGCCCCCCCCCCTCTTGCTCCCCCTTGGCTACGCCCCTGCTCGTCAGCATGTGCGGCTAAACGCGTGTTCCGGCCAAAGTATCTCATGCAGAAGGGGATAAAACTGCGACAGGACACTGAGCAGTAGGAGGCACTAGTGCGTGTTACCTGAAGAGATTGGTTTCGTGAAGAAAAAAGACTGAAAAGGCTACAAGGTTGTTAAATAAGTGACTTAATAAGTTCAAACGCACACAAGCTATATTGCATGTATAGCTTTGTTTTAATATTAAATTCTTACTTCCATATCACAAGCTTTTTTGAACAACACAACAACGTTCGGGGGAGTCCGTGTTCCTTTCCTGCATAAATTTTAATTTTTCAAGGAGAAAAATATCAGATGGCAAATTTTGGGTGTGTTTTAGGGTATTTGGAATTGTTGGTTCGGAGCAATATTATGCGGGAATGGTAGAAATAGTGTTATTTTTAAACAAACTAGAGACAAAGTTATATGTTTTTTTATGGCAGTGGTGCAACAGATTAAGAGGCTTATCTCGACCATGACAAGAAGCTCAGAGATTTGATGGAACAGTGTGGAGAGAAGGGTTGACAAAGTCAAACAATATTGTGTATTGTTATCTTCCGCTGAGATACTTTTGAAACACACGTTGAGCCGCACTTGTTGACGTGTGTTCCAGAGACGTCTTCTGCCGTGCTGAATGGCGAAATTACTTTTTTCCCAGAATAATCATGCTATTCGTTATTATTTACAATGATTTACAATGAAAATCTTTGAAACAGTTTTTTCCTCTAACTAAACATAACATGGACTTGGGCTTGGCATTTAGTGTATGTGTCCATAACTACAACTCACTGCAGGGGCGGATCTGGCCGAAAATCTGACTGTATCACCGACTAGGTCTCGCATAACTAGGGGGGTCCCGGGGCATGCCCCCCCGGAAAATTTTTGAAACTGGAAGCCCGGAGATGCCATTTCCCGCGATTTGAGCGTACTTTTCCTGATATATTTATTACCGAAATTTTCGGCTTTTCTTAGCAAAGAAGATTTTCCCGGCTTTAAAATGCGTACTTAAAAAATTTATTATGATTATGATTATATATTCTTATCAAATTGATAAATTTGGAAGTTGCAGTAAATTAAAGGTAGTTCTACTCCCAGCAGTCATTGACTAGACTTATATAATGTTAAGGTTATTCATGGGGCATAGTGGTATCATATTTCTCATCGTGAGCATTTCATATTTCACAGTCAAAATTTTAGAGCAAACTCCGTTTCATAAACTCATAGCTATTAAAACTAGATGGACAAAGCTTAGGAAATGATTCAGGCAAATTTCTAACGACAGTAACGACTTTAGTACTATTTCTATTAGCAGACCAGCCTTAAGAAAATATTAATAATAGCGGCTTTAATATAAACACGTGCATTGATCCTAACGCGATGCTATTATTGTATACATATCAAACATGAATATTAATTTAACCATGCAGATTTTCCACTCATAATGCAAATTAACTTCACAAAATCATCGCATCGAATAAGATATTAATATATTCACAAAGCTTTGTAATTACCTGACGGGATAATGGTTATGAGAGCGCAATCGCTGGCTTTCGGGTAACTGCATGTAGCTCCGCAAATTGCCATGTGTATATCTCGCGATTTATTCCCGTCTTTGAGCAGCAGAAAAATCATTCTCGCATGAATTTTGATATTCGTTAGCTCTTCGACCTTCTCAGCCAAAGAATTTCGCTTATTGAGCGCACAGTTCAACTTGTCTAACAGAGCGCGTGATGCCACGATAGCCAGATAAACTGCGTATAGACTTAGTTTGCTTGTAATGAGACTTGCGCCTTTGGCGTGGAATGTTGGACATCGTTCAAATAGAGCAATGTAGCTGACTCAGCATCTGACTGTATCAAACTGTATCAGTGATCGCGATTCTGATTGGTTTGATACAGTCGAACGGTCTAAATATAGCTTATACCCCCCCGCTGACTGTATCAAAAATGTTCTATTTTTATCTCAACTGCTACGACGATGTCTTTCTGAGTTATGTTATTGAGTTGAACGAAGAAGCAAACTCCCAAAAAGCGGGCTTGTTAGCAGGTAGAAGTGAACCGTAGGCTGGCGAATGCGAAATGCCAAAAATTGCTCCGTAACCGCTTTTCAGCTTGTGAAGCGAAAAAGCGATTTCTAAATGATGTAAAATGATGAAATAAAAGCATTTATAAATATTAATATAGGAATTCTTACAGTCAAAAGATATTATTTTCGGCAAAATCTGACTGTATTATTTGATACAGTTGATATAGTCTAGATCCGCCCTGCAAGGGATCTATCTGGTGCTACATTTTTAGAATCTTACCGTTTAGCTTTTTGTCTTTTGTTTTCTTCACGAGAACGATTAGGCAACACTATAGGGTCTCCTACCGCTCTGTGTGATGACGGAACACTGCGGTTGCGGTTCCGTTGCAGTCAACCGATGATAGAACCGCAGATGACAGCAAGGGAAAAATGTTAAAAAAAGCTGAGAACGAGAACACAATAGCCAATTTGAAAAAATCTTAAGAAATGCCTGTCAGACCGAGTTAGGCGGAGGTTTAACCTCCGATTCACCGCGGTTCAACCTCGGCCTGACCTTGGTCCAACCGCGATCAGGCCGAGCTTTGACCTATAAGTTAACCGCGGTTTTTGTTAGATTATTTCTGGACAATATTGTATATTGTTATCTTCCGCTGAAATACTATTGGAACACATGATAAGCCGCACTTGTTGATGTGTGTTCCAGAAACGTCTTCTGCCGTGCTGAATGGCGAAAATTG